CAGATGTGTGTGTGTGTGTGTGTGTGTGTGTGTGTGTGTGTGTGTTTCTATTGTAAAGAACAGGTGATTCAAGACCAATGAATTGTTTTTTTCCTTGGAGTACAAACTATTGAAATTGATTTTATCAGCTTTAGCTCCTAACCGGCTTTATATTTAATATACTTAGCTATGAATCAGAAGGTGTTTAAGTGTTTATTTAATGTTACCAGACACTTATGCTTATTTATTACTCTTGCCTTCTCCGTATATTAAGAGGCCTAAGAAATCAAAATGATACTGTTTTCAGTTCCCTTCATGGTGCCTTAAAGGGTAAAATCATCCTTGTGGTTTTAACAGAGTCTTCTGGAACCAACTGGTGGCCTGGTTAAGGCGGCCAGATCCCATGTGGCTGACTGTGTGGCTGAGTCCTGGACTCAGCAACTTGAGAAACACACTGGGTACATGTGTGTGCATGCCCAAAGTCGTGAAGAAGGGAGGAATGGAAGGGAGAAGTGTGCTTTCTCATTCCTCTTCCCACCACCCCAGTCCCCCATGTTCCCCTGCCCCTTGCATAGCACGTGCCCTCTTGCAATTAAAAGAAGCCTTCTATAGCAAGAGCAAGGTTGCCGAGGGCAGTGGGGAGACGGAATCACGGCGAGAGTGAGTTAGCACAGGATGAAGCATGTGCACAGAAAGGAACTTTCCCGTCAGGGTGGGAATACATGTGTTGGAAGCAAGTGGTGGGAGGGTGCAGCTTGACACTCCCTCCCTCTTTGCATGTGAGATCGGGGGGGGGGGGGGGTTGTCAGCAGCCTCCTAGCCCAGTTGGGCAGCTTTTTGCTGAAGGGTTTGTCCAGCAGGTGCAGAACTGAAGGCGTCCAGGGAATGAGCAGTCTTTTGTCTCAGTGATTGGACCCACCTCTATGATTACTTAAAGAATCCTAACTAGCTGGTTTAGAAGCAAGAGGAAACTCCTAAGTATCACACTGACTGGGGTGGACCAAATCTAAAGCTCCATTGGAACCAAATTGACCAATATCTGCAGAATCCGGACATTACTCTTTGAGGATGGCCCCAGAACAGGTCCAAGCAAGCTGAGTGGCTCCAGTACTGGGGCTGTTTCCTGATGAATTTGTGCCTGAAGGAAGTTCCCGGCGGCAGCTCCAGTTCTGCCCTCCTAGAGTGGAGTAGGCATCATTTATCATTTCAGCCGCTTTAAATGACCACTTACAGGCATAGTCTCTTGTTCCCATATGTGCATTGACCCATATGATGAAACGTGTTTCAGTCGGTGGGAAATGGGGGTGGGGTTATGCTAGGTAGCTGTGAGATTTGGGGCAAATGGGGTATTTCCCCCTTCATTTCCTCATCTGTAAACCAAGGCAGTGGAGCTAGGACAACGTCTTTGGTCGGCCTGTTTCCAAATATCTTCCCCAATTAGGAATACCACGTAGGTTAAAGTGACTAGTCCCTGAGCCATCTGCCTTCTGGTACGGCCTCACCCTCTTCCCCGGGGAGGTGGAAGTTGGCAGGGCTGTGGGGTCTAAGCCTCCCAGCTTCCTGGCTCCTGAGTATAGTGAATTCCGTTTCTTCAATTCCATCTGCTTGTCCATTCATTCATTCATTCACTCACCAATTTTTATATATACACACACATATACATATATGTATACATATAATTTTTTTTAATTTGCCAGAGGGCACATACTCTCACCAGAGAGAAAGAAAGAGGGAAAAAGCACCCCCAACAGGGCATGGTTTCCTCCATTTCTCCCTCCTTTCAGGACTTTGAGTGTGCATGCACACCCATCTGTTGTGTTTCTCAAGACACCAGGGTTGAGATTCAAGTTGCGTAGCCAGCCACGTGGGTTCTGACTGCCTTAACCACTAGGCCACAGAGCCAGCCTTTCTGAGTACATATTATATAGCAAGAACAGCTTGAGATTCTTGGGACTCAATGTGCAAAGCAAAGATGGCACTTAGAGTATAGCTCCTTGGTAGAGACAGGCAGGAAGCAGTAGCATAATCAATACATAAGTTATATAGAACGGAGAAGGTGATACAACTCTGAGCATGGGGGGGGAACCTAAAGCAGAGCCAGCAGATGGGGGCCTGGTGAGTTATCACAACACTGGGGGCAGTTTCATTGCTCACCTCTCCTGCAGGTAGGGCCTTCCCTGACCAGTGTGCTCCCCCAAGCCCCAGTCCTTCCTGCACTCCGAGTGGCTTCAGATCGCTCAGTGATGGGGTAACATTCAGGTTCATACTCTAGTTTGTTTCTCTTCTAGTCTCCTGGAGGACTGGGATTGGCAGCTCTCAGGTATGTCTGAAAATCCTGAGCAAATATGAGGCATTAAACATGACAATTGTTGGTCTTCTTTAGTTTATTTATTTTGTGAGGTGGGTGGGAGACAGCACCCCAAACATAGTTTTGCCATCCCGTGATCCACAACAGCCTTCCAGCCAGTCAGGATTGTGAGGTACCCAGCATGCTCAGATTGACCCAAGAACCAAACCCAGGGCTTTCCCATATGGCTTCAGTGTTATGTAATGGCACCCTACTGACATTTTTTTTTTCTTCTTTTGGAGAGGTTTTTGCTATAGGGCGCATGCGCTCGCCAGAAAGACAGAGAGAGAGACAGAGAGACAGAAAGCGAGAAATCACCCCCCAGCGTGGATGGCCACGCCGCAATCCCTTCTCCTTCATTCTTCTCTCAGGATCTTGGGCACACACACACACGCGCCCGGAGTGAGTTTAAGCCACCAGGTTCAGGACTTGAACCACGGTTGACTACATGGGAGTCCAGTGACATAGTCATTACGCTAACTGCTGGTTCTCCCTACTGTCATTTTTAATGATAATCACTCTAATTATTTTTCATGATGGTGAGGCAAGAAAAAATTTAAAATTCTATCAGGAATGGGGCTAGTAGGTGATATAGTGGTGAAGGCGCTGGACCTCCCACATAACCAACTGTGGTTCGAGTCCCGGATCCAGGGCATGTGTGCATACCTATACCTGTCCAAAATCCCAGGAGGAAAATGTAGGAGAAGGGCGTGTGGCATGACCATGCCCCCTGGAGAGGTATGATTTCTCACTTCCCCTCTCACTGTCTCTCTCTGGTGAGTATACGCACCCTATGGCAAAAACCTTGATAAATAAATAAACAAACCCATTTAAAGAAATTCTGTCAGGAAAACCTCAGATACCCTCATGATTCAGGAAACAGAGCCAGCAATTCCTCGAATTTTGTGATAACTCTGCCCTCAAATACACATGTGGGATGTGTAGGGTTTTTTCCCCCATATTAAAAAAAATTAAATTTTGTCTCCTTTGCATAAGTATTTGTAACATCTCCAGGTAAATTCAAACACTGTAAGAAAGTTGTAAAACCAGATCTGGGGAATCTCTTACTCAAAGGCACTACCTTGCTCTGAACAGTCTAGCAACCTTATACCTATAGTTCTGTTAGGGTTCATTTTCTACTTGCTGTGGTATGGTTTTGCAAAGAAGAAAACGGTTTCCTTTACACATAGAGATTAAGAACAAGTTTATCTGTAGTTTTTGTACTCAACTGACTGGGAACCAAGCCACAGTTGCTTCTAAAAGTGACCTAGAGTCATCTTGATCTGATGGTTCAGTACTTAGAAATATCTGGGGCTTTCAGTGTCTGGTAAATTTCAGTCACTTATCTGATCTGTGGTTTGGAGAGAAACAGGGATCTCTCTTTCCGTTTATGAACTGATTAGTGTGTATGTATACCTGGGAGTCACCTTCCGACCCCACATAACATTAGCTAATTTATGCGATATTTCTTTCCTCCACCCTAAACCTTGAAGTGAATCAGATCATTACTAATGTCTAATGATGCGATATTTTGAGATTAAGTGGAGACACTGGGATTTCGTAAGACCAGGATTGGGAATGACTGTGTTCAAAGGCATCAAGATGTCTAAATTCTCTCAAGTTCTTTTGTGGGTTTTTGGGACATGTTTGAATGGGTCAGGACTAGAAGACTCTACAGGGAAGTCTGAGGAGAAATGAGGGTCTGGTTAAGTTCTGGGTTATCATGCTACAGAGCTGAGAGCACCATCCAACCCAGTCTTCCTACTTGCTCTGGGCAGGACCCGGGATGCTGCCAACTCAGCGTTCAGGAGGCGCAGTCCTGGTTTTGTAAAGCGTCTGTCTCCTCGTAGATGGCAAATCCTGCAAGGCAGTTCGTAGGCCTTGGGGCTCCAGGCCTTCCATGTGACAGGACCCTGCTTTCTGTCTGTCTGTAGAATAAGGAGAGAGGTTCATTCTGGGAATGGGGGTGAAATAAGTGAGCAACAAGTAAGAGTGGAGATAGGTCAGCCAGCAGGAAGAAGCGTGAAGCAGGGAGTGTCTGGAAGAGATTGATAAATCCTTCAGGCCCTTGCCAGTCTGCCTGAGAAATGAGACCGGGAGCCAGTGGCCTCCCTTAGCCTACAAGTATGGTACCCCCAAGATTTCTGTATGCATAGTGAGAAAAGCCCTGGGACTGACTGCAGGTACTGGAGACAGAGCACCTGAGAGAGACAGACAGACAGAGGAGGGGCAGGCTTAACCCCTTGGGCCTTCATAGGGGTTAAGGCCCTCAGATGAGGGGTTTCAGAAAGAGGAGACCTTGCATTGGGGTTTGTCCCAAAGGCCATATTCATCACAACAGCAGTCTTATTCATTGAACTCTTCCATGAAGTTTTGGTGTGTTGTGCTCATATCCAGCTATAAACCAGCTTAGTAACAGCAGTCTAATGTTAGCATAACTTAAAACATGAGAGAAGACTCACCCGGGGTGGGTGTGGTCAGTATGCCCAACCCATTACCCCAGGTGAATGTTTTTTCTCCTCCAGATCTGCTTACAGTGATATGAGCAGCACACCTTCCTACTCTTTCCATGGGCTGCTTAAGTAACAAATGAGACATGTAAAAACGATTCTGGTGGGGCCAGCAGGTGGCATGGTGGTTAAGGTGCTGGACTCCCACATGGCTAACTGCAGTTTAAGTCCTGGACCTGGTGGCTTGCTTTCTTACTCCCCCTCCCTCCCCCATCTCTCTCTGGTGGGCACATGTGCCCTATAGCAAACTTTAAAGTAATAATAATAATAATAATAATAAATTTAAAATGATTCTGGCTTTTGGGGCTCACTCTGCACGCACGCATGCGTGGGCTCCCATCTGCTTTCCTAGCTCCACCTTGTCCCATTTCCCCTTCTGCTTTCTCCCTCCAGCTACACTGGTTGGCTTGGTCAACAGTAAATTATTTTCAGGCTCAGGGCCTTTGCACACTGTTCCCTCTACCCAGGAAATATGTTCTTCCCTTCCCAACTCTATGAATCTTAACTCAAATGTCATTCCTTCAGGAAAACCTTTACTACTGTAAATCTTCCTCCTCTCTATTACAAGACCAGATCATCTTCTCCTGTTACCTATTATGGCTCCCCATATGTCACTTTCCTAGCATGTGCTGCAGTTTGTCATTCCATGTGTGTGTGTGTGTGTGTGTGTGTGTGTGAGAGAGAGAAAGAGAGAGAGATTGATTGATTATTTGGCTCTGAGTTCCCAGTTAGATGATAAGCTCCGTGAGGGCAGGTATCACAACTTTTTTGTTGTGATTAGATCCTAGTGTCTCATACAGTTCTTCAATAATAGTAATAATAGACACTGTATAGTGCTCACTGTATACTAAGCGCTATTCTAAGAGTTTTACATATGTTTATATTATGTTAATTCACTTAATTCTCCCAACAACCCCTTTAAGTAGGTATTAGTATAACCCCTTTTACGGATGACGAAACCAAGGCACATAGGTGAACTGACTCCAGAATCTTTTTATTTTAATTACATAATTATTTATTTAATTCTATTCATCATTATTATTTTAATTTGTTGTAGGGCACATGCACTCACCAGAGAGAGACAGAAAGAGAGAAAGTGAGAAAGCAAGCTGCCAGGTCCAGGACTTGAACCATGGTCGGCCATATGGAGTCCAGTACCCTACCTACCATGCCACCTGCTGGCCCCCAGAATCTCCCCTTTTAATGATTGCATTATACTATTAGTGTCCAGAAACAAAACAAGTAATTTGTTGAATTCTTTAGCATCGTCAGAAAATGAGGTTTACTATGTAAGTAAGTTTCCAGATGATTGAAATATAATCCCAGACCTTAAAAAGTAGTACTGTTCGGTGAAAATCTTTTGAAAATCTTCTTCCTTCTTAACAGAAGTCAAACACTTTTTAACTTTGTCTTAATGATCTTGGGTTGTCTGTGTCCGCACCAGCTATTATTGATTTCTGCCCATGAGGACAAGAGATGGGAAGTAGTTGAGATTGAGGCAGAGTGGATAATCAGGTTTTTGAGTTTTGTTTACTTTCTGATGCTATCTTTGGCTACCACCGATTTCTTTCATTAAGTGATCTTTAATATTTATGTAACTCGGGACTGGCAAGTGGAGTGGTGGTTAAGGTTGCTGGACTCCCACGTGGCCGACTGCGATTTGAGTCTTAGACCTGATCGCTTGTTCTCTCACTATCCCTCTCCCCCTCCCTCTCTTTCTCTCTGTCTCTCTCTGCTCAAATTTAAAAATAATAATGAATAGAGTTAAATAAAGTGATTTTTGAAATATTTATGTAACTCTTGCTTTTACATTTCTTAATATTTATTTTGCTTTCTTAGCATTTAGAGAAGTGTTGCCATCCTTCAGTTTTCAAAAGAAAAAACAAGATTGAAAGATTAACCACCTTGCCTCATGATTCAGATGCACACGTAAGCCACTTTCCAGACCCGAAGATGTTGGCAGTGAGGTTGGATAACCTCCAGATGAGGCAGAAGTCTGACCAGGATGATTACTTTAGGAAGAAAGAATCCTGGAAAAACAGTCTGAGAACAGTAGAGTATGTCTTGTAAAAGTTCGTCCCCTCTCCCATCCCCACCCTGGATAGCTACTTGGCCTTTTCCAGGAGGGAGTTCTGCTCTTTGGTGTCTGGAAAGGCCTCTGCCTGGAACCCAGAGGCTTGCTATCTCCTTGTTGGTAATTCCTTCCTGCTTCTGTTTCCTGCCTACCACTCGATAAGCTGGAGAAAGCCATGCTGTTTGGTCTTGGCCAGTTCCTCTTGCTTTGCTCCTGTTTCTCAGTCCTCGGTTTTTGAGCCACAACCTGTAGATTAGGTTGTGCCAACATAGTCATCCAAGCAGTCTCTTAGTCTTTTCTCTCTCTGTCCAAATGTGTGAGAATTGCATAAAGATTGCCTCTGAGATGAGCTGAAAAATAGAAATCTGTGCTGAAATTCTGGAAACCTG